AGGGAAGCAGCTGAGTACTCAGGAAGCAGAGAGGCAGCGTGGAGGAATCAGGAGTTGCCAGACCTTAGAAGTCAAAAGAAAAGTTGAATCTTAAGGAGGAGGAACAGTTAGGTTAGGCTCTGTGGAGGTCTGTAGGGTGAGAAGGCTTTGGGAGGAAGGGGTCCCGGGGAGTGGAGTTAGGGGAGAAGAAAGGAAGGAGAGTGGGGCAAGGGGTCTGGGGCTGGTGCCCAGGGGCTCTGAAGGATATTGGGGGAGGGGATCAAAGAGAGCTGTGAGCACCATCTGGGTCCTCTTGCAGCCTAGCCTTGGAGTCTGGCTCTTGGGGACAGGGAGCTAGGGGGACTGAGCATGGGTTCAGGCTTTGGAGTCACACTTGACCCCTCTGAGCCTTGGTTTCCTTATTTGCAAAATGTGTCTATAGTAATAAACTCTGAGATGTGGAGATTTTTTTTTTTTTATCATCCTCACCCGAGGACATTTTTCCATTCCTTGTTCAGATAGAGTGGGAGGGAGAGAGAGGAACAGAGAGAGAGAAACATCGATGTGAAAGGGACACATCGAGTGGTCGCCACCCGCACAACCAACCAGGGCAGGGGACAAACTGCAACCGAGGTACATGCCCTTAGCGGGAACCGAACCCGGGTCTCTCAGGACCGCAGGCCGACGCTCTAACCGCTGAGCCAAACCGGCCAGGGCTGAGATGTGGAGATTTTTGAGAAAATCTGTCAAGTGCTTAACATGGTGTCTGTACATAGTAGGTGCTTGCTACGTGCTTAGAGAAAAGACATAGGTGGCCAGCCAAGGAGCCTTGCTGATGGGTCTGGGGGTCCAGAATGGGTGAAGGGATCAGAGAACCCCAGAATTGGCATGAAAGAGCTAGGGACTGAGAGGCAAAGGTGATGAGGGAGGTGAGGGGAGGTGGCACAGGCCCAGTCGGGGGGGGGGGCAGTTCAGAGTCCCCTCAGCAACCATCTTTGATCTCTGCATTCAATTCTGCAGAGTTCCCAGAAGTGAGGATCACTCCTGAGGGGCAGATGGACAGCTGAGGAAGAGCTGAGGGCATTGGAGGACTTGGGCTAACAGAAGAGACTCCAGGAGTCCGGGGCTAATCCCAAGGCAGCCCCCAGCTTTCGCTGTTGTTGCAGTGCTGAGCATCCATGCTCGTCCGTGAGCATGTGAGCATGCGTGTAACAGGTGCAGGGCCTGGGAACTGAAGGGAGGACTTTTATACTTTTTGTACCTTTGTAACCAGAGAGATATGCTTATGTTATTTTTCAGCTTTTCTGTTGCCTGGGGTTCTGAGGCTGGGCTGGGAGGGGGAGGGGGACAGAGGGAAAGAGGTACAAAGTTTGACCCCACTTGGGTTCCTGGCAAACTATATGCCCTTTTCTCTCATCTTACTGGGGTGGGTTCAGGCAAATGCTTCCTGTCCCCCAGGTTGATCTGAATATTGTCAGAGCCCAAAGTACAGAATTGATCTTTGCTTTTTCTTGGATGCCCCAAGGGCCAAACTTCTGAGACTGGGGGTTGGTCTTGGAAACAAGGGTCCTCTGACCTCCTCACAGGGGCTCGCTCATGCCGCCCCTCCCCATGGATATGGATATTTATTATGTGGAGTCCCTGCCACTTACTGCCTTATGACCTAGGACTGATGCTGTGGGTGCTGGTGGAGCAGCAGATGTCGTGTTTACAGAGCAAGGCTTCCCTTTCTCCCATGGGGAGGGGTTCAGGCCTCTAATCAGACATTCCTGCAGAGGGTGGCCTCAGGGGTCTTTATTCAGCCCCTGCCCCTGCTGTGAACAAAAGTTGTCTGTGGTGCCATTTAATTCCCTAACACTGCCCCCAGCCAGAGTTTATTCTAAGGGGGTTGGGGAGTAGGAGGGAGAGCAAAGGGAGCAGAAACAAGGGAACTGAAGATGCAGAATGTAGGTGCCACTGCCTCCCATGTTTACAGGAACCTCCCTGGCCCTAGGCACCTGGGCCGCAGAAAGTGACTCAGTTCCACCCTTCCTTTATTCCCTTCTAAAGGGAGAAATGACTGTTAGGACCCTGTTCACAAAACTCTCATTTTTATTACTTTGTCTGATGTCCAGAACTAGGGACTTTTACATTTTGTTACTTTGTTTACAGGTCAAGATTTAAGACATTTTAAAACTTTGTTTACAACTTAAAACTTTTACACTTTGTTTACAGTTGAGAATGTTTTTCCCCCTTTGTTTACAAGTGGAAGGTAGAAAAACTGGGAGAGGGGCTTGGAGGATCCCACCTATAAGGACCCTGGAGCTGGCCATCTGGAGGGGTTTTTAACCACTAGCTCTCTCAGACCAAAGGTCAGCCCTGAGTTCCCTGCTGAACAGCAGACCCAGAAGGCCTCAAGAGTAGGCATCCTCTTACCACTGGGAACAGTGGTGTGTAGTGTTGGGAGGTCAGGTTTGTGCAGACATCCCCTCCCCCACAAATACTCTTGGGAGGCAGTTTCCAAGGAGACTAAAAGTTCTGCTTTACTGACTGGTGCCAAATCCCACCAGCCAGGATCCCAGCTCTCCTTACCAGAATGACCCATCCCTTGAAGGGTTGAGAGATCCACTGTGGGGAGAGGGGGTTGTCCTTGCTATGTCCTAGGTTCTGTAGATGTCCCTCTCTGGGGCTGTCCCCTTCAGCCCTGTGGCCCTTTTTCCTGTCTGTGTAAATTGTTCCGTGAAGCCGCGCTCTGTTTTGGGAATAAACTTATATAGAAAATGGTTATTGTCTTTTTTTTTTTTTTTTTTAATGTATTGATTGATTTTAGAGAGTGAGAGGAAGGAAGAGAAAAACATCGATTTGTTGTTCACTTATATATGCATTCACTGGTTGATTCTTGTACGGGCCCTAACCAGAGATGGAACCTGCAACCTTGGTGTATCAGGACAATGTGCTAACCAACTGAGCCACCCTGCCAGGACTCTGTTGTCTCTTGTTTGGTGGGGTAGAGGGTGGCTGTGAATGATTCAAGCCAGGCTGACCTTTAGGAGAAATCTGAGCACTGGCTTCTCCTAAGAATATTCAGCTATTTTTAGCCCATTTCATAGGTAATTTGGACCAGGTTCCCACCCCTAGTACTCTCAGTTCTGGCCCGTTATCTTGTGGTTGGGGCCTGGTGTACGAACACTGGGTTCTGGGAGTAAGGGGGCAAGGGAAACCCCTCGACAAGGCAGCAGCAAGACTTCCTGAGTCTTACATTTGCCCCGGTCAGGGGGGTCAGACTAACTTTAGGAATTGCCCTTGCTAACCCTTCAGCTCGTTGACAGCACGGACTCACTACCAGCCTCTCAGATTTGGAGCCACGGAAATATCCGTGTTCCTCAGGCAGAAACCTTAGGGCAAGTTTCCTGGGCAGTATACTACGTGTAGGGGAGAGGAACTTCAGCTCATGTCAGGTCTGGGTGTCCAGAGTTGAAGGGAGGCTTTGGGCACCTGCCGTCTCAGAGACATGACCCGTCTCAGGGGAAAAGCCTGAGGGTGGCGCGCGCAGAGGCATGAAAGGTCCCATGGACGAGGATACCCCACCGCTGAGGGTAAAGGTTCTGGTCACTACCCGGGCCCCCAAGCATCCTGTCTACTTGGGGCTTTTCCTTCCCCATCCCGCGAGGACCGTCCCCAAGGAGTCAGGACCTGGCATCAGCCCTATCCCACTCAGGAACCCGGGGCCCCGGGGCCCACCGGCTCAGGCAGAAGAGCTGGGCCAAGCGGGGAGCCCAGAGCCAGGCCGCCTGGAAGGGGTTAATCGTCCCGCCGGGAGCGCGTCACCGAGGCCCCGCCCAAGCGTGCTGATTGCCCAAGCCTTCCTCGTCCTGCCCGGGGATTGGCCCTGGGGTGCGCGCCGCCGGCCTGGGCCCGACCCCAGCCCCGCCCCTCGGTCCGTAGCGGCCTCCGGCCCGAACCGGAGAGGCTCTGGCGCCTGGCAGCGCGCCGGCCAGGGAGCTGTCCGAAGCGCCGGGGTGAGTGCAGGACGCGGCCGCGGGGGTGTCCGCGGGGGAGGCTCGGGCCGCCGCGGGGCCCTCGCGCAGGCGCCGGGCTTGGGTTAGCTCTGAAGGGTCCCGCCGAGTCGGGGAGGCCATGTGCCGCCCGCACGCCTGGGTTTGCTGCTCTGCCGACGTTGTGCTGCCAGCTGCCAGCTGCCAGCTGCAGCGAGGGACGGGGCGGGAGTCGCGGGCTCTCAGCCTTGAGGGCTGTGCAGAAAGCCGCTGAGCGCTGCCCGGGGCTAGCTGGGGGCAGCAGGCGGGCGGCTGCGTGCGGCGCAGCCCGGGCCCCGGGGCGACGCCGTGGGGTGCGCTGGCGCCGGCCCGTCGCTGCACGAGGGCCCGCAGCGGGTGGCCGAGGTGTGGGCGCCGGGTTTTGGCAGTCTTGCCCAAGCTCGACCCGAAGGCGGGGCCAAGGATCTAGGCCCCGCCCTCCAAGCTCCTGTCCTGCCTTTGTGGGGAAGACCTGAGTGACACCAGGAGGTTCGAGGGGGCTCGAAGATCTCTGAGACAGCGATGCCCAGTCTCTGAGGATTTCGCACTACTCCACTCCCTCCTCCCGTCGGGACACCCCGTGTAGAGGCCCCTAGGTGAGTTCCTGCACCTCGGGTGGGATCCTTCCCCTTGGTCAGAGCTACCTACAGATCGGAACTTGCCTGACAGGAGTGAGCTTTCCTCCAGGTAAGATGCCCCCTCTGAGATCTATTCCCAGGTGGGAGCTTCCCCCAGGTGAGAGGTTCCCTCAGATGAGAGTACCCTCCAGATCAGAACTTTCCTGGTAGGTGAAAACTTTCCCAGCTGGTGAAAGCTTCTGGCCAGGTACAGCTAGCACCCCCACTAATAGTTCCTATTTCGGGGGGAGAACTGTTTCCAGGACAGCTTCACCCCAGGTGAGAGCTTCCCCCAGATGAGATCCCTCCCCAGGATCTCCTGTTCCTAAGAGAGATCCCTCTTCAGGGGGGAACCTCTGGACGATCAGAGATTCTCCCCAGGATAGAACTTACCTGGCTTTGGAAAACTTTCCTGTCAGGCGAGAGCGTCCTTCTAGGTGAAATTCTCCCGAGATCTTTTGGCAGGTGAGATCGTCCCTTTCCAGCTGAGAGCCTCTCCCGGCACAACCCCATTCTCCCTAGGGGAAAGCCGTCCCCTGGCTTTTGCAGTTTAGGCTGAGCTTGTCTACAGCCTGGACCCTAAGGCTGGAGGCGCAGGGGCAATGTTAGCCTCAATATTCGTCTTCCCTTGGAGGGGAGGGGCTCATCTGAAGAAGGGTGTGCCTGAAGAACTGGACCCGCACTGGGCTCATGGGGCAGCTGGAAAAGGACTCAGCCTGAACAGAGATTGGCTGGGGGAGATCGAGGGCTCAGGGAAGGAGGCTGGAGGGGCAGTCAGCCTGCAACCTGGACTGGTAGAACCCTGGGGGCTGAGTAGGCACACGAGGGTTGGAGGTATGGACTGTGCTCATCCTGCTATTTCTTGATGGGGGACTTTGGCCCAGAAAGACATTTCCACCAGCCAAAGTTCAGGTACTACCCCTGGGCATGGGCATGGGGCCAGCTGGAGGTTGGACCTGCCTAGAAAAGTCAGGTGGGTGACTCTCTGGTCTAAGGTGGAGGTGTGGGGAAGGTTGCCAGGGGTGCCCTGACTGTGTCTCTGGTCTTGCCACCCCAGACCGAAGGACACATATGTACTCTGGCCATAATGGAGGCAATGGAGCTAAGGAGGCAAGACTACCATGTGGAGCGGCCACTGCTGAACCAGGAACAGCTGGAGGAGCTGGGGCACTGGGGCTCAGCAACTGGGACCCGCCAGTGGCGAACCTGGTTTCAGTAAGGCTGAGGGTGGGAGATGGGCGGGACACTGGTAGGACATAGGTAGACCCTGTCCTTGATACTTACCCTTGTATCCCCAGGTGCTCCCGTGCTCGGGCCCAAGCCCTTTTGCTCCAACACCTCCCAGTATTGGCCTGGCTACCCCAGTATCCTGTGCGAGACTGGCTCCTGGGTGACCTGTTGTCTGGCCTGAGCGTGGCCATTATGCAGTTACCACAGGGTGAGTCACCCCTGATCCAGAAGCTGTACCCTCAGCCTTTGGGTGGTGACTGTTGCCTTGAAAACTTACCCCCCCTCAAAAACAAAACAAAACCCTGAAGCTATGACCCCTGCCCCTGGAACAATAGCCCCATGACCTAGTGCTTAGATTTCCTCATTCTTTCAAGACCCAGCCTCCAAACCCATACTGCTACCATTCTACCTCCAGGTTTGGCCTACGCCCTCCTGGCTGGACTGCCCCCTGTGTTTGGCCTCTACAGCTCCTTCTATCCTGTGTTTATCTACTTCCTGTTTGGCACTTCCCGGCACATCTCAGTGGGTGAGTGGAGCCAGGCCCAGCCTGGCAGGAGGATGCCCACATCCCCGAGGGAGGGCTGAGCAGGGCAAGGGGACTTAGGGAAGAGGGCAGCATTGGTGTGGGGCGGCTGGGAGACTTGCCCAAGGGTCATCCCCAGGCAGGACTAGGCCTCTGAGCAAGTGTCCGCAGACTCAGGTAGCTAGAGCCCCTGGCTCCAGGTGGATGTGGGTGGGTGATGCAACTTGAGGGACCCAGAACTTGGTGTGGGCCTGATAGCTTGAGGCAGACTTGTGTCCCCTTCCTCATTCCATCTTTTGCTAGGGGAGTGGCCCTAAGCCAATGGACACAGGTGGGGCAGGTTAGATGGTGAAGGGCCAACATTTCTAGCTACCCTAGGAGCCCTTGAGCCCAGGGCTCCTACCTGACCAGCAGCGCTGCCTTTATGCACAGCATAGTCTGAGGATATTCATCTAGAGCTGATGTCTCCTGGTCCTCTCCCCTGCAGGCACCTTTGCTGTCATGTCCGTGATGGTGGGCAGTGTGACAGAATCCCTGGCTCCGGATGAGGCCTTTATGCAGTCCTTGAACTCCACAGTCAACCAGACGGCCAGAGACTTAAAACGGGTACAGCTGGCCTCCACACTCAGCGTCCTGGTTGGCCTCTTCCAGGTATGAAGCAGTCAGGAATGCGTGCCCCCATTGCCCGCCCACTGCCAAACCCACTCCTACCCCTGTCTGCCAGTTCCCCCGAGTGTCCGACCATCACTGTCCTCCTCCTCATCACATCTCCCTCTCGTCCCTCCTGCCCTGGGCTCTGGTCAGCCACCCCTCAGACCCCTGTCTCCCCTGACTACCCCTGGCCAACCCACAGGTGGGGCTGGGCCTGGTCCACTTTGGTTTTGTGGTCACCTACCTGTCGGAGCCTCTGGTCCGCGGCTACACCACAGCCGCGGCCGTGCAGGTCTTCGTCTCGCAGCTCAAGTATGTGTTTGGCCTCCATCTGAGCAGCCTCTCTGGGCCGCTGTCCCTCATCTATGTGAGTGAGGGTGGCAGAAGGGGCTGGGGGGTGCCCCCTGACCTTGAGTGCTGGCTCTGACCCCACCTCCCCTCAGACAGTGCTGGAGGTCTGCTGGAAGCTGCCCCAGAGCGTGGCTGGCGCTGTGGTCACCGCATTTGTGGCAGGGGTGGTGCTTGTGGTGGTGAAGCTGTTGAATGACAAGCTGAGGCGACATCTGCCCCTGCCACTCCCTGGGGAACTGCTCACGGTTCGGATTCTAGGGAACGGGAGAGGGGCAAGTGGCTATATCCTTGTGGGCATCCCCCTGGCATTTAAAGACTAGCTGGAGTGGGCACTGGTGAGAGTTCCTGGGGATGGGGGGCCCACAGCAAAAAACGTGTGCCAGTGTCTTCCCGCCCCTGAGAGCATCTCCTCTCCAGTGGTGTGTCTCTCACCCTAGTTCTGACTTCTCCCCACCCCTTTGAAGGTTTTGTTTTAGACCTCCCTCTTCATTCCCAAGTGGTTTCTTTATGCCCCTGACAGTGATGCCAGCCCTCCCTGCCCTGACTCTGTCCTCTCCCCCAAGCTCATCGGGGCCACAGGCATCTCCTACAGCGTGGACCTGAAGCAAAGATTTGGAGTGGATGTCGTGGGCCCCATCCCTGTAGGGTGAGCTCTGGCCCCTGGAAGTCAGGGAAGGTTGGACAGCCAGGGCCAGCACCTTCCTTTGGCCTCACAGATGCCCCTCACAGGCTGGTACCCCCAGTGGCCCCCAGCCCCCAGCTGTTTACAAAGCTTGTGGGAAATGCCTTCGCCATCGCTGTGGTTGGGTTCGCCATTGCCATCTCGCTGGGGAAGATCTTCGCCCTGAGGCATGGTTACCGAGTGGACAGCAACCAGGTCTGGGGGAGAGGACGTGGGACATGGAGAGGCAATCTGAGTACAAGAGACCCCAGGGCCTGGGGGGATGGAGTATCAGGTGGGACCTAGGAAGACAAACCGATGTGCTGGGACCATGTGAGGACTGAGGGTGGGAGAGGACACTTGGGACAACAGGCAAGGGTTTGGGGCTATTGAGTGGGGATGGAGGTTGGAGACGTGTAGGTCTAGACACAGGCACAGTGACTAGGCACTGCTAATGAACTCTCACACCTGTACTCTCCCCACCAGGAACTGGTAGCCCTCGGCCTCAGCAACCTCATCGGGGGCATCTTCCAATGCTTCCCCGTGAGCTGCTCCATGTCTCGGAGCCTGGTCCAGGAGAGCACCGGGGGCAACACACAGGTGGGCTTCAGGTGTGGGCGGGGCTGTGCATTCGTATACACAGACGGCTTGACCTGGGGGATCCTGTCCCTGCTCACCATCCTGGTCTCCCCACCCTCCTACTCGCTCTTGCCCCGCAGGTGGCCGGAGCCACCGCCTCCCTCTTCATCCTCATCATCATCATCAAAGTTGGGGAGCTCTTCCAAGACCTGCCCAAGGTGAGCCCCATCCCCACGCCCACCCAGGCAGGCTTGAGGGCCTTGGCCAGGCCAGGGGCTCAGATCGTTCAATCAGGTCACAGGTGAGATCTTTGGGGTGAGATCTGGAGCCAAGGGTCAACGGTTAGAACATTTCAGAGGTAGATCCAAGTTGTCAAGTCCAGGGGGCAGGCTTGGGGTTATGCCCGGGTACTTGGGGCCTGTCTGGCTCATGCCAGGAGGGTCAGGGCTGTCGGCAGGGAGCAGCCCTCCAACCCTGGTGACACTCCCGCTGCCGCAGGCAGTCCTGGCCGCCACCATTATCGTGAACCTGAAGGGCATGCTGATGCAGCTCACGGACATACGCTCCCTCTGGAACGCGAACCGCGTGGATCTGGTGAGAGGCCTGGGCCCCGGGCGTCTTCAGCCCCAGTGGCCCCACTGGACCCTGCTGACCTGCCCTACTGTTTTTAGCTCATCTGGCTGGTGACCTTTGTGGCCACCATCTTGCTGAACCTGGACCTGGGCCTGGCAGTGGCAATAGCCTTCTCCCTCCTGCTCGTGGTGGTCCGCACGCAGCTGTGAGTCACCCCTGGCCCCTCATTCCAGCTGGCGAGGGGTGAGGTCCACACTGGCTTCCCCCAGCTTTCCCACATCTTCAGGTGACCCCAGGCTCTTAGTTCCTCCTCGTTCCCTCCCTCTCCTTGTGTGCCACCCACTCATGCTTAATCTCTCCACAGGCCCCACTATTCTGTCCTGGGGCAGGTTCCAGACACAGATATTTACAGAGATGTGGCAGCCTACTCAGAGGTGAGTGGCGGGGCCTGAGTGAGAGGGAGGTGTGGATGGGGTGAGGCAGAGGCACAATGGGCCTTTGTGAGTCCCTTCCACGCCTGACAAGGACACTTTGGTCCTTGAAATTACAAGGCAGGAATTTGGATCTATGAACCCCACTCAGAGTATGAGGGCTAGGAAGGACCAGAGGACTAGTGGACAGAGCTGGGCCTGGGGGTCCAGGGGCCTAGGGAGGGGGTCTCTTGGAGCCAGCAGTACGAGACCCAGCTGCAGAACAGTCCTGGGTCAGGAATGTGCCTGGGGCACCAGGATGTCAAGAGAGGCTGTTTTTTGATCTGAAGGAGTCACTAAACCTGTCATTCAGTGATCTGCTGAGAAGTCCCATGCCAAGTGCTGGGAACGGAGATCGGCTGTGGAATGAAACAGGCCCATTCCCCCTGACATGGAGCCTCGAAGGCTGAGCACAGTGATCAGGCAGAGTGAGGGGAGGACAGAGGGCGGGCAGCTCAGCGGATGGAAAGGGAGGTCTAGGGGTGGGAGGCACATCGTGCAGGCCTGGATGCCAGCAGAGACCTGGCTCGTGTCCTGAATGGGGTGGGAGCTAGGAAGGCTTGGTTGGGATGGCAGCCGAGGAGGGTCTGTGCATGAAGCACGTAGAAAACAGACCACGGGGCCATGGTCCGAGACTCAGGAGGAGGCTGAAGAGCACTGACACCTAGCCCAGGAGGACAGGGGAGACGGGAGGAGTGCTGCACTGGAGGAAGCCCGATGAGCAGCTGAGGGCCTGGGCAGAGGTGGGAACAGACGGGCGGGGCTCCCGCTGGCTGGAGATCAGAGGGTTGGGGGTGGCGGGCACCAGGGTGCACAGGAGAGGAAAGGCAGAACACAATGCAGCCAGGAGAGAGGGCTCAGCCACCCCCACCATGACCCATCCGCAGGCCAGGGAGGTCCCAGGAGTGAAGGTCTTCCGCTCCTCAGCCACCGTGTACTTTGCCAATGCTGAGCTCTACAGTGACGCGCTGAAGCAGAGGGTGAGGTCTGGGATGCCCGGGGTTGTGTCAGAGGGTCCTTCGCCTCCCCGGAGTGCCTACATCCCCTTCCTGACGCTTGCCTCTAGTGCGGTGTGGACGTTGACTGCCTCATCTCCCAGAAGAAGAAGCTGCTCAAGAAGCAGGAGCTAAAGCTGAAGCGGCTGCAGAAGGAGCGCCAGAAACAGGCAGGCCCTTGAGCCAGTGGCCCCCGCCCCGTCCTGCAGCTGACGCGCCCAGCCCTTCTCCAGCCTCCTGGCTCCTAACTCCTCACCTCCATTCTCGATCCCTGCTCCTTGATCCCTGCGGCTGGGGTTTGTTTTTCTCCCACCTCCGGAGCCACTCACAGTATGAACAGTCCTCTTCCATTTATGGTGTTCCCAGAGCCTGGCCTCGGGTCCCACGCTTTGGCTCCTGGCCCACCTACCTGCCCAGAGCCAGAGGGCAACACCAGGCCTGCCTAGCACAGCTGCTCTATGGCAACTGGGACAATTCTTCCCTGTCCCACCCCTTCCCCGGCCTAGGATGCTGCCTCCCAGGTCACTCCTGTTTCCATTGATGTCAACACCAGTGATGGAAACATCAAGAGCAACAACGTGGAGGGCTCCAAGGCCGAGGTGAGCTGGAGGTGGGACAGGAGCCAGCCATGAGCTGCAGAGATCGGGCAGCCCCGATGTGTCCTGTGAGGAAAGCCATGGACCTGCCACTGTGGGTTCGGCTTGTTTCAGTGGCAGGAGGAAGGATGATGGGTCAGATGGTCTGTGGAGGGACCTCTAGGGATAAGCCATAGACTTCTGCTATGGCTTCCTGCCCGCCACCGAGGCCTTGATGAAGACCTTGACTTTTTAGTCCACAAGACCCCACAGTGTGTGCTCCTGGGCAGGGGAAGAGATTGGGTGTATGGGGAAAACGTAGGATCGAAGGGGACACCAAGCTCCATTAGAGACCAGGTGGGGTGCTGAGGTGTCTGCAAGCACACAGGTGTACATGTGTCTCCCGGTCTGTCCCTCGGCCCCCTACCCCTCCACCCTGGCTGACTGAGGATGGGGCATGGTCTGCCAGCACCCTCCCTTCTTAAGTGTCCCGAAAAAACCTGGGCCCAGGAGGTAACAGAGCAGTGTATACATGTCTCTGTGTGCTGTCTGAGTCTGGGTGGCCTCTCCTGTGTGTCCCCAAATGTCGCTCCTCTCTGCATACAGGAGGCTCCTCATGCCCTTGTCTTCGTGTCCCCTGCATGCCCCATATATCTGGATGTTTACATGCTTGTTCCACACCTGACCCTGCTTTCACCTCGTCATGGACAGCCCTTGTAGCGTGCCTGGTTCCCCAGCAGGTGAGCACAGAGAATGAGCTACAGAAAATAGCAGCCGGCGGTCAAGAAGATGCCAAGGCCCCAGCCATGTGCACACTGAGGGCCCTGGGCCTGCCTCAGCCCGACTTCCACAGCCTTGTCCTGGACCTAAGCACCCTCTCCTACGTGGACACTGTGTGCCTCAAGAGCCTGAAGAATGTAAGGGGCTGGGGCACCCTTAGAAAGACGCGGGGGAGAGCAAGGCCCTCAAGCCTCTCCCTTGACCCCGTAACTATCTCTAAGAGCCCTCTGAGCCTTCTGACCCCAAACCCGCTGACCTTCCCCTCTAAACTCCCTCCCCCAGCCTGCCTGAGGCTCCCCTCAAAGCCTCTGGCCTCCCTCTGAATCTGGCCCCCTTTTCTGCTGCAGATTTTCCATGACTTCCGGGAGATCGAGGTGGAGGTGTACATGGCTGCCTGTCACAGTGCGTGGGGTGGGGCCTAGGAGAGTAATTCGGGGAAGAAGGTGGGGATCATCTGGTCAAGGAGTCTACCAGGAAAAAGTCTTTCTCTGAAACTGAAACCAGAGGTCAAAGGTCTCCTGGGAGGCAGGGGTGAAGAGTCAAGAGTGACTTCGGGTTTAGCTGTAGCCTCGGGAGTGGAAGCTGGGGTGACGCGGGTCAGAGCATTCTGCAGATAACTGGGACCGGGATTCCTGGTGCTTCTTGGAGTCAGGAGAGACCTACTCCTTGCCGACAGCTCCTGTGGTCGCCCAGCTGGAGGCCGGGCACTTCTTTGACGCGTCCATCACTAAGCAGCATCTCTTTGCCTCTGTCCACGATGCTGTCACCTTTGCCCTCCAACACCGGAGATCCAACCAAGTCAGTCCTGTTTTGGTGAGCTGACCTCTGGCCCACTGAGCTCTTTTTGTTCATCTGCTTGTTCCCACCCTGATCCCAGCTCCAGGAAGTCCCCACCCTTCCTGGATGCCTTTGACCCCAGTGGACCCACCGCCTTCCCCTCCGGCCTTTCGATGAAGCTACTCCTGGGGCAGGGAGGGCTGGTATGTGCCCTTGGTAACTGATGGGAGCCTCCCCTTGTCTGCCCACTCAGGTTACCAAACTCTGACCATGCTGCCACCCTGCCTGAGACTGCCTACACCTGGAGGTTGTGACGGGGCACCTGTGAGACTCCCCCCCCCCCCCCCGACAACTCAGGGATGGAGGTCCTGGGACTCCAAACAGTGTTGTAGGCCTGGGCTGGGGCACTGGCCGGCGGGGGGGGGGGGGGGGGGGGGGGGCGAGTGTGTTTTTAGCTTCAGGAATAAAGACTCATTTGCCCAACACACCAGGCTCTGCTGTGGCTTGGAGAGGGTCAGGGGTCCACAGCTCTGGCTCCTGACCCTTCTTATGCCCCAAAGTGGGAACTGGAGTTAAAAGCTGGGGACAAGGCTTGGGGAAGGCAGGGTCAGGCGAGAGAGGGTACAGTACGCAGGAGAACTGTGGGCCAGGCCAGGTGGGGGCACCTAGGTCCAAGTTTCTTCCCAGCCACGCACAGCCCTGGGCACCTGGGTCGCCATTATAAAGTAGTTGGAATCAGCCACTTCTCATGAATGACCTGTTTTCAGGGACACCCGATAGGGGGCCACTGGGAAGCCCCCAGAGGGTATAGTGTGAACACCTGAGCAACCAGCTGAGGAAGCCAGGTGCTGCTGGTCTGCATTTAGAAGAAAGACTGCATGTGACTGATTTACTTGGGAAAATGCCTCTTTGTATTAAGTCACCTGGGCTTTGCAGGTCCTTGTCAGCCAAGAAGCATGTGCTGATCTCGGCCATAAAATGCCAACATCTGGGCATGTGGCCCAGCGGACAGCAGCAGGCTTTCTGGCCAGCTGATATTCTGAGCGACTAGGGTAAAAGGCCCTAGCATCTCCCCGGGCCTCGTGTCTCCTGATCAGGAGAGCCGGAGTGGTAATAGTGCCTGCTTCCTGGGTTACTCAGTGAGCCCTCGATGAGAAAACAGCCGTTTTCAGCTCGGCATGTGTTGGTGCCACCTCGGCCCAGGAAGTCGGGGCTTTTTGTCTCCTCCGTCACCCTTCGTCCTGGCACGAGGAACAGTGCCTAGCACATGGCAGTGCTTGGTAAATATTGGCTGAGTGAAGCTTATGTGCAGGAGTGAAAGGCAGGCCTCAAAGGAGAAGCTGCAGTGACTCAGAAATGCTTTGAAGAATATTAACAGGGTCACTGGAGGGAGAAGGGACTGTGGCCCAGAACGGTCATGGGAGGGAAGATCAGGGAGCAGGTGACACTTGGACTGAAACTCCAGCTGAGAGGTGCCTCTCTAGGAGAAAGGGACAGTGCTCCTGGCGTAGGGAATGGCAGGTGTGTTCAGGAACATGGAGACGGGAAGGGAGACCAAAGTACACCAGACCTCACAGGCCAGGGTGAGCTTTACTCCGAGAGCGAGGGGCCCCACATTTTTGATGCAGATGGGGTAGGCTGGGGGTAGGGGTTCGTGAGCAGCTCTGCTGGGCAGTAGCATTAGGGGCGATGGGGTTAGACTTTTAGGAGGTAGATGTTAGGTGCGGAGGAGGGAGGGAGAAAGACGCTCCCTCAGTCCTGGGCCCCAGCCTGCCATGCCATCCTCCCCTGCCTGGACCTGCACCCACCCCCCCACACCACATTTTCTGGCCAGGCTGTCTCTGGAGAAAGGCCGTGAGCCCCACTGGAACCCGCGGCCTCTGCCAGGCCTACCGCTGGGGGAGGGGTGTTTACTGTTGCCAGGTACCCAGGTTCCGTTGGCACATACTGCAGCCATGCTGTGCGCACCGCCCTTCCTGCTCTTGCTGCTCCTGCTGGGGATGTCTGCTCCCTCCCACGCCTGGTCTAGGCCCCTGTGGTACCAGGTGGGGCTGGACTTGCAGCCCTGGGGGTGCCAGCCAAATAGCCTGGATGGTTGCGGGGTCAGCCTGGGCTGTCCTGGCCAATGGATGAGCCTGGGGATGAACCCCATCTACCCCTTGGCGGGGGTCACTCTCACCACTGCCTTGATGCTGATGCTCAGACACAAGGTGCTGCAGCGACGGCGCTTACAGGACCCCAAGAGTGAGGTGAGCACAGCTCTGCTGTCCCCCACAGCTTCCTCCACTTACCCCCAGTGAACTCATCTTCCAATTGACCCAACCCCACAGCCCACATCCTGCCCACATCTGTGGGGCTCCTGCTACCCTCTCCCCCACCACTCAACCCACGGTCCCTACATATGTCCACACCCATGGCCAGTACCCCGCCTCCTCTGTCTCCCTTTAAATGCCTATTTCTCATCAGCCCCCATGGGTCCCATGACCACTCTAGCCCACAGATCCCCCATCACCTTACCTCCCCCTTCCCAGGCCCTTCTCCCTAGCTCCTTTGCTACCCTTCACCACACTTCCGTCCCATCCCTCCTCTCTTACTCCTGCCTTTTGGTCTTATCCTCAGCACTCGAAGGTGGCCACTAAAACCTCTGGACCCTGTAAACGGCGGACCCCAATCTCAGATCACACCATACTGCTCACGGTCCTGCACATGCTGGATGCCCTCCTGGTCCAAATCCAGGGCCACCTACAGCATCTAGCCACTCAGCAGCCAAGGCAAATAAAGGGGACTCCCACCCAGAATGGGTGACCCAACATATGCCTCTCTTTGCCTAGTGGCCAACTCGGGTGGGGATGGCCTGAGGCTCTGAGCCAGGCTTGGGACTGTCTCTTCTCCCAGGCTGGCTTGGACCCTGTAGCTCCTTCCTACTTATAGACCCAGCAGACTTGTTGAGGCCTCTGCCCATACTGGGTGGGCAGGTAGGGCCCAGGCTGGCTCACACTGCTCCATTTCCCCCTACCAGCAGACTCCTCCTGAAGGATTTCACCCAGAAATACAACTGCTATTCTGGGGCTCCTGGGTGGGGGCCCAGTGGGATGGAAGAAGACCATTAGGTCAGACTTGGGTGGTCCAGGGAGGGATGCCCAAACGTGACAACCAGCCAGGGCTCCTAGGTGGGGTCCAGGGTCTGAGCTGGGGGTGGGGGATGGAGGGTGAGCCCTGGCTACCTTTGTCTTCGTGGCATCTCAGACATGTGCTCTGGTGCCTGAGTGGCCCTTACTTCAAGCCCCAGGAATGGAGTGAGGGTTGAACCTTCCCAAAGGGACCTCACCCCCTTCCTCCCTTCCTCTTGCCATAGGCAATCCAGGTTCGGCGGGTACTGAGCCTGTGCTCTTTTAGGGTCTCTGTCTTAGAAAAATAATATAACATTATGAATTCAAACACAGAAACAAGTGAATTAAAATAATGAAAAGAGAAATCATGACAAATTACAAATGTTAAAATGTTGACAAATACTACAATGCCACATCCAGAACAATAACATATTTGTGGTGTCTTCCAGATACATTTCTGTAATACTTTTTTCCCTACATTTTCTGGCTGTTCACTGGTGGCCTCTATGTAGAATAAGGGTAATTGGGGGAGATATTATCCATACAGAGAATAGAAAAATAATTTAGTCTTCCTTCTAACATGGTTGATTGAGATTTGTGTTTTACTTATTGATAATTTAGAAAATTTATTTCTCTCCTAACTTGTTATTGATGGTGTCACATAAATGGCCTGGGTTGTTTTCAAATTTGTGAAACTCTCATCAAGTTTCATAATAGATGCTGTATGATTTGAAAGAATTTTCCACAGATGAGCTTCTGACTCCACACCTTTCAAACCGTGTTTTCCCTCCATGGCCCACAGTTTTTCTAGCCCTGGGCACTGGGGGTAGGTTCTAAATGCATAGGACCTTGCACTTCTGTGCTGACCAGTAGGAGGTCCCTAGAGGCCATTCCCACAGGACAGGTACACAGGAGTGGAGTACACCACATAATATGTCCCTCTAAACCCAAAGCAAGTGTGTCTCTGTGGTAGATGTGCTGCCCATGTCCCCGGAAAGCCCCCTGCTGCCAGCCCCTGGGAAGGCAGAAGCAGATGGGTCTGCCTCAGCTGCGAAGAGCCCCATCCTTCCCTCTGCCCATCTAAAGAGACTCCCTGGTAACATCATGATCTCCCTCTTAGAGTGTGCTTCCCAGAGAACCCAACCTGGGAAAGTCCCCAGTTCACCTTCCTCTTGGCTGAACCCCAAAAAGGTCATAGCCTCTCCAATGTCATCTACATAACGGGAAATGGGATGAAGGGGAGTCCGAGTGGAAAAGGACAGAGGTCCTAATTGGATGCAGTTGTACCATCTTAATTTTGTAAGTTTTCCAAAAATACTTGATGCTATGGACACACTACTGGGGCTCCTCACAAGGCCAGGAAGTAAAAGGCATTGAAGGTTGAGCTTCATCAGCCTCTTGTTAGGTCCACTTCTATATTACACAAGGTTTAATGAGCGCCTACTGTTTGTTAGCCCTGTTGTGAATGCCGGGCTCTGCTGATGTGTAGAACTACTGGCTCCTCCCTCACCCACTCACAAATAGGGGAGGGTGGTGGTGATGGTGAAACAGACTAAAAAAGAAAATTACTCTGCAGCAGTGTGCTGGCCCATGTGGGGTGGGGTGGGGCAGGGGTAGACTGATTGCTAGGACTTGAGGGATGAATGGAGTGACAAGAGGAGAGGGAGAGTGCTCCAGTCAGAAGGATAAGCACACACAAGGACCTGGTGGGGGAAGAGACCTTGGCCTGTTCCAGGAACTATAGAGTGGTCAGGATTTCAGGAGAAAGAAGGAGCTCTGGAGAGCAGGAGGAGCAGGCTGGGGAGGGGCAGGAATTGGTGTCTCCTAGGGAGGGGTCATAGGCAGAATAATGGCCCCTCAAGATATCTGTGGAGTCCATGAATATGTTATAATACTTGGTAGGAATAACTGCAGGCAGAATTAAGATTACAGACCTTAAGCCCTGGCCAGTGTGCCTTGGTTGGTTAGGCGTCATCCCATGCACCGAAAGGTTGCTGGCTTGATTCCGGGTCAGGGCACATACCCAGGCTGTGCACTTGAGCTCACATGAATGTTTCTCTCTCTCTAAAATATAAATAAAATATATTTTTTTAAGATTAAAGAATTTAGCAAGCTGGTGGGGCTCAGGGGATTGAGCATCATCCCATGGACTGAGAGGTCCCAGTTCGATTACTGGTCAAGGCATATGCCCGGGTTTCAGGCTCCATCCCCAGTAGGGGGCATGTAGGAAGCAGTCGATGGATGATTCTCTCTCACATCAATGTTTCTATCTCTCCCTCTCTCTTAAAATCAATAAAATACATATTTTAAAAAAGTAAATAATTAAAAATAAGGAGATTATTCTGGATTATTTTAGTGGGCCCAAGTAACCACATGAGCCCTTAAAAGCAGAAGAGAAGCTCAGATTCAAAGTGTGAGTGGTGCTTTATCCTCTGCTGCTGGCTTTCAAGGTTATGGAAGTGATGCTCCACCATCTAAAGATCTGAGGGATTCAGGTGGCCTCTAGAAGCTGGGAATGCCCTCCCAGGATAGCCTGCAGGAAAACAGGAGCCTCCATCCTACAGCCACTGGGACCTGAATTCTGTCAACAACCTGAGTGACCAAGGACACGTTCTTCCCTAGAGCCTCCAAAAAGGGACACAGCCCTCCTGATTCCTTGATTTTAGCCCCGTGAGATCCATGTTGGACTCTGGGCTTACTGAACCATGAGATAATAAATTTGTGTTGTTCTAAGCCATTAAGTCTGTGGTAATTTGTTATAGCAGCAATAGAAAACAATACAGATGTTAGTATCAAGAGTGAAGTACTGCTATAATAAATTTTTAAAATGTGGAAACAGCTTTGGAATTGGGCAGTGAACAAAGGCTGGAAGAATGTCGAGAAGCATAACAGATAAAGCCAAAATTGCCTTTGTGGGGTTCAGAATGAGCTACCCCAAGATGTGCTTTGGTGGTATTAGCTCAGAATGTTTTATACACCCATTTCCCCTTTTTGTTTCTGAACCTTTTGTGCATAAGGGGTCTCTGACTCTTTTGTTTCTGGAGTTCCAGTGCAGTGGAAATGAAACTTGATTTTCTTTTGCCAATCTGTCTCTCATTGATTTGATTATTCAGCTAGCCAAAAGAACCAGAGGAGGGAAAGGAGAATTTACCCCCTTTCCCACACCTTCAACCAACTGTTAGCAGAAATTTGAACTTCAAGCATGCTGCCAGTTGCCCTGGCCAGCATGGCTCAGCTAGTTGGAGCATCATCCTGTACACCGAAAGGTCTCAGATTTGATTCCTGGTCAGGGCACATACCCAGGTTGCAGGCCCCATCCCCAGTGGCCACGTGTTCCGGAGGCAACCAATCAAGGTTTCTCTCTCTCCTCTCTCTTGCTCTGGCTGTCTCCCTTAAAATCAATGAAAAACATATCCTCATGGGAGCATTAAAAAAAAAAAAAAGTGAAAAAGAATAATGCTGCCAGTTGCACCTGAAACTAATATAAAATAATATTGAATGCCAACTGTAATTGAAAAATAAAGTAAAAAAAAAAAAAGAATACTGCCAATGAGAGCCCAGAAGGAAATGGGGAACATGTTATTGGCAACTGAGAAAAGGCACTTTGTTTTGTTGCTTGTATGTGTGTGTTTTGCTTTCCAAACAACGAAACCTTTTCACAAATTCGTCTCAACTGCTCCTCTTTTCTTAGCAATATAGTGTTAAGTTACTTCCAAGTCAACAGTCTTTACTTCCTTCTTTTAAAGACAAGCCCATCACTTTCAGCAACTGCTTCTTAGCCCCAGGATTCTTCGCTGGTGCTTCAGCCCAATTGGAGCAGGCAGTGGATTATGGGCGCCTGCGCACAGTGAGAAACATGCGCACTCTGCCCTGGCCAGTTCCGCTGGCGGTAGAGCGCTGCTTGTGGACAAACGAGTCACGGGTTCAATTCCGGCCGAGGGCGTGCACCCCGGTTGCGGTTTATCCTGGCCCCGGTCGTTGGCGTGGGGGCGGTAACCAGTCCATGTGTCCCTCTCACGTCGATGTTTCTATCTCTCTCCCTTTCTCTTCCTCTCTCCCACTCTGTCTGAAGAAAACTGGAAAAATATCCTCGGGTGAGGATAAAAAAAACAAAACAAAACACAAACATGCACACTCTGCCTGCTATGGATCAAAAGGGAAGACGGACTAGACTGCAGCCACATTCGCGCCAGCCAATAGACAGCCAGGTGGACTAATGAGCGCAGGTACCAGCCCAGGCGCGGACAGCACCGCTGACCACCTTGGAGTGATTATCCGCGGCTTCCACTAGGAGGCGGTGAGCACCAAGGCTGCGATACTGCGCCTGCGCCTGGGCGCCGCCGCGGCCACCTCTACGCATGCGCAGCCCGGTCCAGGGCCGACTGGACGAGAAGATGGCGGCTTCCGCGGTTTGCCGAGTGGCCGGCGCTGGGTCGCGAGTGTTGCTGCGGAGCCGGCGCTCGGTGAGGTGGCAGCAGGAGGCAGGATTATGGGGCGCGGGGCTTCGGGACGTGGATCAGGAGTGGACTGTTAGCGGCGGCGGGTCGAGATTGGGGAGGTCGCGGGGTCAGGGCCGTGGGAAGGTCACGGGCAGAACTGGGGTGGCAGTCTCGCGGCTGGCCTGGGGGCGGGGACGGGGATACTCCTGCGGGCCTGTGAGCTGAGGGGCAATCCCCCAACCCAGTCCTCAGTCCC